GCCTGGGTAACTTGGCGAGACCCCCATCTCCACAGTAAAATAAAAAAATCAGCCGGGCATGGTAGTGCGCGCCTGTAGTTCCAGCTACTCGGAAGGCTGAGGCGGAAGGATCGCCGGAGCCCAGCAGGCCGAGGCTGTGGTGGCCGGGAGCGGCCAGTACACTCTAGTCTGGGCGACGGAGTGAGATTCCAACTCAAAAAAAAAAAAAAGAAAAAGAAAACCAGCCCATCTGTGTGTGGGAACTCTAAAAATTCACAACACAATGGGGTAATAGCTTGCTTGTGAAAATAAATGCTTCATTAATTGGATTTTTTATTAATGTCTTATATTTTTCATTAGAGTTGGCCAAGAAAGAGACGGTCTGTAGAGGAAAGAACATGGATCTGGAAATCAAACAGGTTTAGACTGGAATCTCAGCTTTTCTGTCTTACCTCGTGGTAAGGTTGAGTGGGACATAAATTTTTTGAATATTCTCATTGGTAAAAGGGGGTCATAATAGTGGGGCTTTAGAAAGGATAATATGGTCTGTACACCGTCTTTAGCACAGAGCTTGCCTCTGCTAAGTGCTCAGTAAACATTCCTCTTATCATCATTATGTAATTGATGTAAAGTGACTGCCCAGAACTGGCACCAAAAAGATGCTCTACTCCACCTACCGCCCCCTCCAGCCTCCACCTTCACCTTATATGACAACTTTGCTTCCAGCTTGAATGAGAATGAATTTTACCAAAACCAAGTCACCAGGTTGCCTATTTTCTGGAATTTGTCTTCTTCTCATGCCCCATAGTGGGTTTAATGGTGGCCCTAAAGATGTGTTCACATCCTAATCCCACGAACCTATGGCTATTACCCATATGGCAAGAGATAGAATGTGACCTTATATGTTATGTGATGAAGTCAAGGAGCTTATCCAGATTACCTATGTGGCACCTAAATACGATCACACATATCTTTATAAGAGAGAGGCAGAGGGCCGTTGAGATGGACACAAAGAGGAAGTGAAACACACAGGAGAAGGCTGTGCAAAGTTGGAGGCAGAGACTGGAGTGATAAGGTGTGTCAGCCAGAGTTGGAAGAGACGGGGAAAGATTCTCCTGCAAAGGCTCTTGAAGGAGTAGGCTCCCGCTGACATCTTTATTTCAGACTTCTGGCCTCCAGAGCTCAGAGAGAACACATTTCTGCTGTTTTAAGCCACCCAGCCTGTGGCAATTTGTTCCAGCAGCCCTAGGACTTTCATACACTGTATTAATCTGGGTTGGCAGGTGAAGCCCTTCCTCTCATTTTCCCAGCAACTTGACAAGAGAAATGGCCTGTGTGTGAGGGTGGCCCACAGCCCACACTGGTACCTGCAAACACACCCTCTTTAGGAGGCAGTCCGCCTCACTTTCAACAACATGGAGGCGTGGTGGGTGAGACCCTGGGGACACCATTTTTCCTCCTGTTTTCTCTCTGAGGCTTGGGATTCTCTCATGCACAACAAACCTCCTCTTTCCGCAAGTCGTGACAAAGCTTAAAATGCAAACATCTTTAGTTATATAATACACAAACTTCAGCAGGAACCTCTGTGTTCTGTAGTAAATGACTTTACTACGGGTCCCTTCCTGTGTGTGGGCTCTGAGAGGGAACACAGCCAAGAAGAGCACGTGGGACCAGAAAAAATGTTGCTATGGTGAAAGCAAAAGAGCACAAAAAGGAGTGGAGAATTCTGAAGACCCAGATTTCCTACTGCACGGGTTTAAAAGCAAGCCAGAGAAATGGCTCTGATCCCCTTGGCCAGTCAGATAACCTAATCGTTAGGCCTGTCAGCAGCCCTGTGAGTATATAATGCGGTATTAGCCACATTTTACAGTCCAGGAGATAGACGCCAGTGGAGATCAACTAGTTTGTCCAAGTTCATGCAACTGGGAAGAGGGCTGAGACAGGATGTGAGTAAACGTCCATCTGTCAGCAAAACCCTGGCACTGGGATGTCTTATTGCCTCTAGCTAAAGCGAAATATAGAAAAAGGCAGTTGGGGGGACAAAATCCTTCTTGTTGGAGCCCTAAAGGTCATTCTATATCCTGTTATTCCACCATTCTCCGGGCAATCATGAAGCAGAGAGAGTTCTGGCTTGCGTTCACTCCAGAGTGGTTGCTGGGATTGCCCATGAATAGGAAGCTTTCTATTGCTCTGTTGTCTGGATAGAGACCACCTGGGTCTCAGTTCCCGTTGTTGCTAATTAGTGATGTGTTATTATTAGAAAGAGGCCAACCTTGAGCCTCTCTGTGCTTCAGTACTCCCATCTGCAATGCTAGGGGGTGGGTTGGATGACTGGTTCTCAATCTTTACTGTACATTAGAACTTCCTGGGAAGTTTTTGTCAGGCCATACTCCAAACCAGTGAAATGGGAATCTCTCTGGATAGGATTCAAGCGTTGGTGATTTTTTTTTTCAAAATCTCCCCAGATGATTCTTATGTGCAGCCAAGTCTGAGAACCAAAGGGGTTCATGAGAAGGGGTTCTGAGGCTCCTCCAGATGCAACATCTTGTGCCAGCATCTGCACGTGGCCAGTGGCGCTAGAGTCTGAATCTCCAAACCTTAACAATTCACAGAAAGCCCTCTATGAAAGCCCACACCCATCTTTTCTAGAGAAAGTCCCTTCACCTTGATTTGCTTAACAATATAATATTTAAATTCTATATAATGATCTAATCTTATGATCTTTCACGCTTTTGAGAAACAGGAAGGATTAATGGAATAATAAAACTCTTCAGTATAATTAATTTTTATTCTGTGGCTTGCTCTAAATGGTGTCCTGGGGTTCTGAAAAAAAAAATTAATGTAATTTATTCACCCAGCACTAACTAAGCCCTCATTTCATCTGCACGCAAGCTGGAAATAGAAAAATGAATAGTCTTTTGAACTTAAGGAACTCACGATCAAGGTGATAATAATAACATCAATAATAATGCAGGGGGGATGGGATTAACAGTAGCAAATATCTGTCTGGGGCTGGGAAAACACCTCTTATCAACAGGGTGTCTGAATGAAACGTAATTGTACACCTAACCCTTAACTGTACCCCACAAAACCATAATAAAAAATACTAATTAATTAAAAAAAAATAATAATGACAGCAGCAGTCATGATTTGAAAATGCTTTTTGCACGCCAGGCAATGAGACAAATGCTCTTTATATACTATTTTAGATCCTCACAACAACCCTGCTCATTTCCTTCATTTGATTGTTGAGGAAACCAAGGCCCAGAGAGGTTAGATAACTTTGCCAAAGTCACACAGCTGAAAAGTAATTGATCTGCCAGTCGGATCCATGTCTATAAGATTTGGAAGCCCATGCTATTTTTACCATGTCACAGTACCTCTAGAAAAAGAGAAAGGATAGAGACACAGAGATAGAGATGGCAGGAAGAGGGTTAACCTTCATGGGGAAGAATCAAGCACAGGGTGGGAGAATTCCTGTGAATTACTCGCATGAAAGGGGTTATAAGAAAATAAATCTTATAAATCTATAGTTTGGACTCAATCCTGTTAGAAGGTACAGCAGTGGAACACAAACATTCATTATGAAGTGCTAGCTTTTCTGCAGTCAGTCTCAGCTCCCTCAAATTTGTCTTCAAAAATAAACCCATTGAGTTTCTCTGTGGATTACATGGCTCAACAGCGTCACTTTTTTAGCCAGTACAAGCTCTTTGGCTCTAAGCAGATTTGCACTTGTGCTGACTGCTATCACTGATACAAAATGTACAAGGAAGAAAAAAAAAAAGCTGTGACAGCCCCTTTCTCTATGGCATTTGGATCCATACACAGTATAAACCAGGATGTTCTGAAGGTACACACACACACACACACACACACACACACACACACACACACACACGCTGTTCAAAACACACTATGTACATATATACATTAGTTAACTCAGAAATATATATACATAAATGTATGATTTGGGAACCCCACTGAGCTAAAATAATTCACCAGTGAAACCAGATGTAGCTTGAGGGGTATTAAACACGCTAAGGCCTCGAGCAGAAAAGGGGAAGAGAATGAAGCAGTACATTTTCTTAATGAGGTTTTTCACAAACACCATTTCCTATTGTAGCCAAAATAGGTAAAATCACCAAAGGAACTCTTGAATATTCAGAGACTATAGAAAGTGGTTGAGATATCAGGTATTTTTAAAAGATTCTAAAAGATATTTGCTACATTTACAGAATGGAAATTCTTCACACATACATAAAAAGATTTACAATTTCACATAAGTATTGCATACACATGTATATATAAACATTGTTTATGAAAAGTGTACACACGTAGACCACATGGCTAAATACATGTTACAAAAATGAATCAATTTCACAGCAACCCTTTCATGAGGAAAATTACCTCCACTCTGGAAATTATGAATAAGAAAAACATACCCTGTCGTTGCAAATAATAACGTAATGATAAGTCATTATACAACCTCGGCTAAGATAACTTATCAACCCAACATAAACCTCAGCAACGTCTATTCCTGAAGGGAATCAAGAGAGGCTTATGAAGCTCTATAGCAATGAAATATTGGGTTAGTAGACTGAAAGGAGACATGATATGTTCTTATATTACTTACTCTAATATTTTTTAAAACTATAAAAAAACAGAATAAAGATGACACGATCTGAAATAGTTGGTGTGCTTAAAACCCAGTTTAAAAAATTTGTAGGTAGGAATACCTCAACAAGACAGATAGATCATAGGCTTATTTTTCTTTTCCAAGTGCTTATCAAATTAGAAATAAAAATTTAGAGCAGGTTTGTTTTCTATGTGAAATCCTCTTTCCACATCCTACATAGCAAACACAAGCACTACACACACACACACACACACACACACACACACACACACACACACACACACACACGGTTCTTTGTCTCTCCTTACACCTTACATCTGTCAATCCTAATACCATTGGACTAAGGAGGCTAAGAAATAAAGAATGTGTTAAAACAGCATTTTACCTCTTTGCTGATCAAACACAGAAGAGTCGCTGAAATCCATGGTAGGCTGTCTCATCATTTGCCATCGGAATGACAAAAAGCATCCAGGTCTCTAGAGAGGAGAAAACACCTTCTCACATGTTCCAGTCAACACAACAGTCAGATACAGCATCGCTTGCCAAGACCTTTGAGAATTAAACGTGCATTAGAGCTGCAGGTTGTTGTCAAGGCAAATGACGAAAACAGGTAAATGCTATTCCTGCAAATACTGTCTGGAAAAGAGTTACTCTCTGGCCTCATTCATTAGCTTCACTTGTGTGTGACTTGAATACATCCTCCACCCCCAAGCAAATAAAGACTACAGTTCCAACCCTAAAACGGTAATCCTGGGGACCACCTGCCTTGGATCTGGGCTGGGAAAACACAGCAGGTCACGAAGCTTCAGCAGCTGGAATGTCGCTTTAAACCAACAGAAATCTCAACGAATGAGTGAGGATCCACAGGGCCAGACGGAGCATGTGCAAAGCTGCCAAGGCAGTTTGCATTCGGCTGTGCTCCTGGTGGAGTGAGAACTGCATTTGGATCATGTGAGCAGAGCGTGCCATCTCAATGGAATAGGACGTAAATATTGTAGCAGGAGGCTGCTGGCCATGTGTTGTGCAGAGTAATGACCCACGTCGCAGTCCTCTTCAGTCTCTGTTCAGCTTGTTTAGTCTCTGTTCAGCTCCGTTCTCTGATTGACGGGAGGATGAGGGGGGGAAAAGGAAGTGTCATTTGAAAGGTCGCATTTCCAGGCTCAAGTATCTGTGACCATAAAATTAAAACAGTCTGCAGTCACAAGGGTGTTCACTGTAGCATTATATGTGATGAAACTTGAACAATCACTTAAATGTATCTCATTTGATAAATGGTGAGTAAATGGTAGTAAATTCATACTATAAATTTTAAAATCTGAGGTAAAAACAAAAACAAAAAAGACAAAAAGCCTATGTGTATTTATCTGGCAGGATGTTGCTAATCTATTGTTAAGTAAAACAAGCAAGTTATATGTTTCATTTGTTCACATTTTTATAAAACCAGCAACCACCCAATGAATATTTAAATATGTTCATATACGTTTAGAGGAACACTGGAAAAAATGTAGAAAGATCCATACTAAACTGCTAATACAGGTTACCTCAGGGGATTGCAATGTGAGTAGGAGATTTCTAACTTGTTCTTTATCAATCCCTGTATTTGTTAGCTTATTAGAACAAGTATCTTTTTAAAATATTTGTGGCAAAATAGGATATAAATTGAAACAAAGTTCTACATTCTAGACAAGGCTGAATTTTTGGGACAAGTCATATAGTAGATGCTCTCATAAATGCTGTTGATTATAGAAAAGCTGTTCTCTGTCCTAACTGGATTAGTATGTTAATGTGGAAATAAAAGCAGAAACCATTTTTCTCCATATATGGTTCCATTTGCTTTGATATAAACTAATCTCATTTGTAATCTGTGTTCTTTGATAGGCAGATTCCTTACTTATCTCTTGCCTCATATTTTCTCAATGCCTATTATATATTTTCCACCAACAAATTGGGGGCGTTTCCCTTCTCTGTGACAATTCTGTTACCCAGTCAAAAAGACTGCGGCTCACTCCCCTCTCCCGTATAAGCCCGTCCCCTCAAAATAATTTTTAAATATGCATTTAAACATGCTTTTTATTTAAAAATACAAGCAGAACATACATCTTGTAAGTCATTATCCAAAATGTGCTCCATAGGTAAATTTCTTAAATTTCCGAGCACCGGACTCTTGCATTAACCACAGGAACCAAACTGAGGAGACTGGGAGTGGATTGAGAAGGAAGGAAACTGAGATTTACACTAGCCAAATCCTCAGCTGAGGAGAGATGGCTCGGGCTGGTCCAGTTGACTGAGGTCCAAAGCTAGAGCAAAACAGAGGGCTTAGATGAACTTCCCTTTCACTCATTTGTTCATTAATTCATCAATTACCGTGAAAGGAGTGCTGTGCTGCAATCATACAGGCCCTGGCGATGCATCTGTGAGCAAGACAGAAAAGGTCCCCACATTTAATGTGCTACACTCTTGGGTGCAACTTCTTCTTCCGGCCATGCTGGAGCAATAGAGGACTGAATTCACTCTCCTGTGGTAAACAATTAGAAAACTGGGTAAAATAACTGAAACAATGGTTTTCAGACAGCAGGAAGCACAGGACCATGACCTCTGGGAGAAGAGGAAAAAAATGAGATTAGTGTGGTGAGTCCTCAGCTAACTTCTGGGGAGAGTTTCTAGGCTGCATAATGTGGCAGAGAGAGTGGGCTGAATGGCTTGTGAAAGGGTTCACACAAAGGTATGTCCATGTTCTAATCCTAAGAACCCATGAGCATGACCTTATTTGGAAAAGGGGATCTTTGCAGGTATAGTTAAAGATCTCAAGTTGAAATCATCATAGGTTATCTGAGTGGGGCCCAAATCCAATGACAAGTATCCTTATAGGAGACACACGGAAGGGACACACAGAGAGAAGAGGAGAAGGTCACAGAGGTAGAGATTGGAATGATGCAGCCGCAAGTCAAGGAACACTTACAGCCACCAGAAGCTGAAAGAGGCAAGGAAGAGGGTGTCCCTTAGAGCCTTTGGAGGGAGCAAGCCTCTGTTGACACCTTGAATTTGAACTTCTAGTCTCCAGAATTGTGAGAGAATACATTTCTGTTGTTTTGAGCCACCATATTTGTGGTAATTTGCTACAGCAGCTTCGGGAAACTAATACAGAAGAGGAACTCTCAAAATAAATGCAAAGTATCTAAAATTACTACTTAAAAAAAATCAAAGGCCTGTTAACAAAATCGTTGCACCTTTATATCATTACCAAAACACAGGCATTTTCATGTTGCAAAAGAGCTACTTTAGGCTCATTTTGAAGAAAGGTAAATAGAGAGGAAAGGGCGTGAGCTTGAGTTTGTCTCTTGTTAGGTGTGTGATTAGGACAAGTTACAAAACTTTTTGAGCCTCAGTGTCTTAATCTGTGACATGGAAACCTCACCCTCACACTTCTTGTAATCATTGACTAACATTATCTTTCAGTTCACCTCCTGGGCTACAAACATAGAGACAGTTCTTTCTATGTAACCAAAGCCTAGTGTAAGATAGCATCTGGTTGTTTTTTCAAGTGCATTTTGATTAAAGCAATTATTCACACCTATTTGGTACCTGTGGTGCATTAACTTTTATGTATAATGTCAGAGGGCTAGAGAAGACAGTCTGTAAGACCATGTAAATCTGGCTCTCTACTTCCTCTTCAATTCATTCCTTATGGCTCTCCCTCCCTTCCCAACATCTGGTCACACTGGTCTCTTCCTTGAACATACTATGCCCTTTCCTATCCCCCAAAGACTTTGCTATTCTGTTTCTCTACTTGAAATGCTTTTTCCCAGCTCAGATGTCACCACACCAGAGAGGCTCTCCCTGACCACTCTCAGACCCCATCAGCCACTTCCTTCTCCAGAATGCGACTTCGTGAATTTACAATGAGAAATAGCCCTGCCAAAAGACAGAGCCTTTGCCCATGTTGTGACATCTGTCTAGTTCAGTGCTTCTTGGACTATCTATGGTGAAGGACCAGTTTCTAAAAATTTCCAAACTATCACAGATCGATGCATTCCTAAAATATGATAAAGATTAATAATGGAAAAAAGCAAGTAACATAAAAAGTAACAAAAAGAAAAAGTAAGACTTAGAGAACGCAAGCTCTAATTTTTATTATTAGATTCAACAGGCATAATATTACATGTCAATAAACATAATCAGAACAAACATAGGATAAAAAAATTACAAAAACTGTATACATTGTTCATTGAAAGTGCATTTTGGTATTAATTATCTGTGCTGTCCAATGTAATAGCCACTAGTCACATGTGACTATTTAAATTTAAATTAATTGTAATAAAATTAAATTAAAAATTCAGTAGCACTGTGATTTTACTTTGTCATAACTAAAAACTGTTGCTCTTTGAGAGATGCTGTTAAGAAAAAGCCACAGACTGGGAAAAGATATTTGCAAAACACAAAGATAATGGACTTGCACCCAGAAAATGTAAAGAGTCCCTAAAACTTAATAATAAAAAAACCCTAATTTTAAAAAGGGTAAAGATTTGAATTGACATGTCATCAAAGAAGAGATACAGAAGGTAAATACACACATGAAAAAATTATCAGCATCAATGATCATTAGGAAAATGGAAATTAAGATCATGATGTAATACCACTACACATCAATTGGAATGACTTTTAATAAATCAACAAACTAAGATCACACTGTGTGCTGGTGAGGATGCTGACACTTACATACATTCCTGATGGAGATAAAATGGTGCAGTCATTTTGGAAAGCAGTTTTGCAATTTCTTATAAAGTTAAACATAAATAAGACCCATCAATCCAACTCCCAAGTACTTAAGGGAAACGAAAACATATGTTTTCACAAACACCTCTATGTGAATGTTTATAGCAACTATATTGTGGCCCCAGACTGAAAACAGCCTAGGAGTTTATCAACTGGCAAGAGGATCTAGAAACTGTGGCATATCTATATGATGACGGACTACTACTCAGCTATAAAAAGAAATTGAGCTGGACGTGGTGGCTCATGCCTGTAATCCCAGCACTTTGGGAAGCAGAGGCGAGAGGATTGCTTGAGCCCCTATGTTCAAGACCAGCCTGGACAACATGGTGAGACCTCGTCTCTACAATAAATCAAGAAATTAGTTGGGCGTGGTGTTGCACGCCTGTAGTTCCGGCTACTTGGAAGGATCACCTGAGCCCAGCAGGTTGAGCTACGGTGGCCATGAATGTGCCACTGCACTCCAGCCTGGGTGAAAGAATGAGATTCTGACTCCAAAAAAAAAAAAAGGAAAAAGAAAATAGATTTATATGTGCAATTAATGGATGAATATTTAATGCATTATGCTGAGTTAAAAAACCAGAAACAAAAGGCTATATGCTACATGATTCCATCTATAAGGCATTCTGTCAAAAATTTTAGAGACAGAAATCAGAGGACTGCTTTCCAGGAGGAGGGAATGGACTACAAAGGGCAGGATAGAACTTTTGGAATCAGAAATATTCTGGATCTTGTGTGTGGTGATGACTACATACTCTGTATTCATTTGTCAAACTCACAGATCTAAACATTTTGAAAGAGTGGTTATTAGTAAACGTAGATCATACATCAATAGACCTCAAAGAAGCAGCAATACAAATCTCACTTCAATAAGTTAACTAACAATGTTAACTTAGATTTTAACAGGTTGGTTAAAAATTTATATGATTGAAGCTAGCAGACTTTAAAATAAATAAGTGCTCATTTTTCTCAGATATCTGTATACTTTTAGAGTACATTTGACAAGCTCATCTTAAAATATCACATTTTTAACACTACTAAAATATCACTTATTTAACACTACTGTGCATGACTTTCCATGCAAGTTTGACAATGCCCAAGCTGGTCATATCAC